CTAATATATTCAGCCCATAGAAAGAAAAAATATTTTTCTTTTAAAAAAAAGAATAAAAAAAAAATAAAACAGAAAAGCCATTTTCTGATTAAATGTAACACATGTTAGTATTCATAAAATTTTCTGAATACTCTAGGATTTCTATTTTTATTCTTACAAACAATGCTTCTAGAATTTAAATAAATAAATATATATATTATATAAGTTTTCCAAATAAAAAATAATAATAAATTCTTAACTATTAATATAACAATTTATAATGTTTCTAATTAAACTTATAATTACAGTAAATGTATTAAGAAGCTTGGCTTTAAAATATGTTATAAATTAATTATAAAGTAGGTTAATCAAACTATTTTTTAAGTGTAATTTTTTTTGTTTTTTTTATTATGTAAATAAACGTATTCTGTAAATGTTTTCTAATAGAAAGTGTATTTAAGAATTGTTTTTTTTTTAAGATTAGTTGTAAAGTCTCTGCTCTGATCGTGGGTTAATGGAAAGGCTGTTTATTTCAACAGTTTAATGATTGAAGCATTCTTAAGAATGTTGGTTCGGATCCTATTGAATTGGATTCATGGAATAAGGTAACTTAACACATGGGCGATCTGCCAAGGGGTTTCTTCACAGAGTTCTTTTTAATGAAAACTGTCTCCTATTTAGGTGTTAGACACATGAAGAAAACCCAGAATACTCCACGCGGACAGTTCGTATGTCAGGCTCGAACTCGCGAGCCTGCATTCTATTGGCATCAAATATATTTTTCTCCTTGGATTTTAATTTATTCTTTATAATAGATACAGGTATATTCATATTTTGAATATTTCTAGTGTACTATTTATTTATTAATAATATCTTTACTGTTATATTAACTTAATAATGCTTAATTCTCCCACATAATCTGAGATATCGCATTTAGTTTTAAGTTTATTAAAGGAAATTAAAACCGATTAAAACTAATTAACTACAATAACTTCTTAGTTTCCTAATTATTAAGCTTTCAGTTATATAATCGCAAACGCAATGCCCTGTAATTTAAATAATAAGATATTCGTTTTACGAATATAAAATTGTATAAAATAAAAAGAAATTCTTAAAACCAAAACCTCTCTCGCTAATCCGAAATTTTATAAAGTCTAAATCCTTTTCATATAGAATATACACACTCATATTGGAGATTAGTTTTCATTAATTTCAAATAAAGCTTATTGATTCTGTTTCCATGTTTCGGGCATATTGTTATGTGAAGCTAATACCAAGTTTACATAATCTAAACAATGTCGTATTTAATGAGAAATTGTATTGAATGCTTTAGTATTCATGGCTCCACAATATCCATTTGAGTCGAGAAACTTTTCCAACAAACTCCCGTGTATATCAATAAGAATTTCTGATCAATTCACTGAGATAATCCTCGAGTCTTCGCTGTCATACGATTCATAGTCAACTGACCAATTCTCAGAAAGGCAAATACCCGCAGCTGTTGACACTAAGAGAGTCAGAGGAGGTGATTAGTAATTATCATTGCCACTAGATTTACATAGAATGTCTCTGGAGTCATCAGATATAACAGATCTATCAAACTGTCTCTTTTACAAAATTCCCTTTCGTTAAGCTTCCCAGCATTACTTAACACCATTTACAAAAGAGCGCAATTCATCGTTCAGCTAAAGGGTATAAAATAACAAAAAAAATTACTCCATTTTTTTTCTTGGTAGAATTAAATAACCTTTAATTATTCACTGATAAAACTAAATTTTCCTAATTTGATCCTAAAGCTATGAATAATAGAAATGTCCAAAGGGGAACTGATACTAGGATTAAATGCTATAAATAATTACTTAGAAACATCTTCTACAGGGAGAAAAAAGGTTGAAAAAAACACAATTTTATCTAATTTACTCAAAAAAGAGAAAGAAAACGATATAAATTGCTTGTTTGTTTTGAGTAATCTACTATTTTAAGATAAAAAAAACGGATGAAATTTATAAGAAATCTAAAGTACTATCGATCATTTCCTATATGATAAACAACGCAAAAATGCAAGAAATTATAATAATTTGTTTCCAGAAATTGAGGTTGATGCTATCTTTATTTATTTAAAAAACAAAATTTCGAATCTTCTAAGTATTACTTATTTTATTTTCAAAATTTATATGGATAAATGAAATGTAAGCTAATAAGGTTTGATAGCCTATATCTATATATAGGCTATACTTGATATATATTTTTTTAAAAAACTTTCTTGATTTCTCTAGTTTACTTTCACCGGAAATGAACAATTCTTAAAGAAAAAAAATGAAACAGGAACTGAAAACAGAAATTGTTTTTTGACCGGAAACGGTTTTTTTAGAAAACGGAAATGTTTTTTACTGAGTGATGTTGACATTGTTTCAACTATTTTAGGCTTTTTTCTGTGTTATTTTTCTTTCTATATTTTATATTCAAGACTATAGATNCGAAGATTAAAAATGAATTTTGTACGTGGAAAATCGTCTTCAATTAAGAATTGATACGTCGAAATTAATTTTAGAAATTAGAATATTTTAAATACATTTGTAAATCTTGTAAAATTATAAACCGTAGATAATTTATAATTACAATAATTAAAAATTTTAAAGTCAAACTTCTATAGAAAAGTTATAATTAAAAGTAGAATTCGTGATTTTAGCAATTGGACAGCACGAAGTAGGGTAACGCTGATTTGGATCATCATTTAGAACTAAATTTTAATTATAAATTGCTATTATATTGTAAAATTTATGTATTAAAATTTAAATATTTTATGTAGATTTTTTTTGATTAATGATTCTAATCTATATTTCTAGTGATAAAGTGTCATTATAGTAGAGAGCTTTTGTTGAATTGAAGCAAGTTGCTGCTAAGAAACGATGAACTACCTGAGTCGACAAGCATTCATTCATATTTCTTCCTACTCTACAATGATTAGAATGATGTGTGATCATAGAAATCATAAGAATAGTCCGTGACCAAAAGAGTTATTGTTGATTTGATTGATGCTGAAGAATTCATGAGTTTACTGAATGGGAACAGATTTGTATTCAGCCATTTAAAACTATTTAAAATCCTCTTTTATTGCGAATAACCATTGAAATTGTGGAAAAAACGTTTTAAAAAATGGACGAGTTTATTACCTAAAAACAGAAAAATCTCGAATCAAAATGTAGAATAAGACGATTCTAAATTGTCACCAGTAAAATACTTTTATTTTTAGAAGAGGAACTTCTACAGCAAACACCAAATATAAAGTTAAATAACAAAAAAAGAGTGTAAATAAAATTTAAGAAGTATTCTTTCATGAAGTAAAGTAAAATTTTCGAGATTTTTAGCTTTAGTTTTCCGAATCCTACGTAAATAGATAAGATGGTTCTTTAACGTCTCCCTCATGGTTTGAAAGAGTTTCTAAAAGGTTCCGAACAGCAAATATACCAGATTTCTGGTAACTATATTTGAACCACGATCCAAATGTTAGACAGCAGCTTTTGTGACGAATGTTATTCTTTCATATCATTTCTTCACACACAGCAAGAGAATATTCAGCTGGAACTAACCAAACATACCCTAAGTCTAGACTTGTTAACGTCTCCAATGTTGCCACTATCTAAGAATTTCTTGAAGGAGCATCCTAATCCTATTGGCAGGCATCTTTTTTCGTGCAAATATATTCAAAAAATAATATCAATCTAAGAATATATCGATAAGTTTTCAAAGATATCCTTATCCTTATTTAAACTTTTCCTATATTTTATATACACGTGTCTGTCTGTGTGTGGATATTCTGTGTGTGTATACATATATATATATATATTCAATGATATTATATTTGTCTACAAATCCTCTTAGAAATTTTAACATTATGTGAAGCTAAAAAGTATATTATAGAATATATATATTCTAAAATGGTATCATTCAGACGAATAAAAGACAAGTTTTGTAACTCTTCAAAGCGATTTAAGTCTTTTTTTTTCTATGGGATAAATATCTAAAAATACACTTTTCTTAGTTAAAATCTTCTATCACTTTTAAGTACTACATATTTTTTTCCTTATTTTTTCCTGTTTGAATAAGAAGAAAAGCTTACTATTTAAAGAATTCTGCATTAATAGAGGAGAGAGAATCAGCATTGAATCGCTTAGTAAGGTAAATGTTTCTTTACTAGAAAATAATGACTTGTCCTTTGCTGAAAAGAGATTTTTCTTTTAATGACATTGGCTTATAAGTAAAAGGAAATAATAATTAAAAAAAAAAACACACAAGTTACTGAATAAAATGCATAAAATTTTAACATTAAAAATAAATTTAAAATATTCCGATTTTTGTATATAATCTAAAAAGGAATTTATAAGAAGAGTATCACAAATGTGAAGATTATAAAATAAATTTTGTTTTTAAAATCAGTTTAGAGTATTGAACATTTTTCTAATACTCTTCTATTGCCAGAAAGAATATTTTTAGAAAAATCATTAAATAAACCAACACAAAATTTGATAAAAATGTCTAAATTTCTTCATCAAAAGCAAAGATATTTTTTAAATTTATAATTCAAAATTTAATCTTCAATACCATGACACCGGCGCTGTCAAAGATAATATTTTAATAAACAAATTATTAAAAATGTCTTTGTTAAAAACTGATAAAATTGTATCCGTAGGAGTTTTACGTGTGTTGTAATTTTACTAAACTAAGTTAGTGCATTAGTCAATAAATAGAAAATATGAGGATGGTTCATCAGAAAGAAATAATTCTCGACCCCTTCATCCCCTTACATGCTTCATTAACGACATAAACAAAAGATTGTTTGCTAATGGAACACTAATTGCATCAAGCTCCAAGACATCTCTATTATAAGTAAATGAGTTGTTTAATGTAAATGATTATAGGTTATCAGTTAAGAAAATTAGAAATTTCTTCTTTCTTGCACGTTCAGAAAGAGTAGAAACATTTCCAAAACCTTATTTACAGTTATTGCAATCTTTATATTTTTAAAATATTCTAACCAATTCTTTAATCATATCCTGGAGTTCTTTCTTTGCTTGCATCACTTCCTCTTTTCTGCCAATAATAACAATCGATTCACGATCATCATCTTTTTCTGATGGAAAAATAATTCTTGCTTTTGTTTTATCTCTTATCTATAACAAAAATTAATGAGATAATTGTTAAAATATTTCAAAGTAATTTATTTAATACATCAAAAACACACATAAACTAAATTAACACACAAAATATTTTACTAACCTTCTTAACATTGGCCCCATTCTTTCCTATTAAGAATTTCAAATGTTCAGGCTTTGCTTTCAATTCTTCTGTATATCCAGCATTTTGCTGAAAAATTACAATTCTTTTAATTTATTATAATTTAAACAATATAAATTAAATATTCATGGAGAGAGAAACATTCAAATTAATTTATTTTTAGGTTTTGTATTCTTGATAGTTTAAATTAAATTTGTTGTTTATTGTATTTTACTTTTATTTAGTATATATGCACATTTTACATTGGGCTTTTGCCTTGTATTAAGTGAATAAATATTACACAAGAAACCTCAAAGTGGTCCAAAAAAGAATCTTGAAAAATCTAGCATCCTCACAAAAAAGTTAAATATTTGCAGCTGTGTATATTGATTTCATTACATAAATATAAANCTCAAACTATAATACACCTCTAAAAAACACGTATAAAATGTTTTTTAGAAGCATATCTTTGCTAATCATTTAAATTCTGACACGACTTTTTAGAAGTATATTATTAACTGGATCGAATTTTAATTTTTAATTTAACGTTTTTTTAAGAATAAATTACTTGAATTTTTTAAAAATACATTTCTATTATTACTCGATCATTTAAGTTAATAAATACATATACATATAAAGTGAATGATATGCAGATATATATATAAAATTTACATAAGAGATTCTCGATTTTAATTGAAAGTCATACATCATTTTTATACTTATTCGAAGTCATATGTTTTAAACGTATTTAATATTGAATACTTTGAATGAAAATCATCCTTAAAAATTAATGATATTGTCCAAATGGGAGCAGTTCATCTTACTAATGACTTTCTCGTATTGACTCGTTTTAATCTACCTATCACCTACGTGTTCACTGTCTTTATCATCTCTTCGACCCTCCCTCTTTAATTTCTACTTGAAGCACAATGAAAATTGTTCCCTTTTATCTTCTAAAAACACAAATTTAGTCTAAAAAATATAATTTTTTTTAGCAAATTAAAATTGTAAAATATATAAGCCTATATTTATACAGAAAAGTAAGAAGAAAGAAGAATTGGCCTGTATATATATATATATTTTTTTTATTTCGTATATTTGACTTATTTCTGATCGATATAACATTTACTTTATTCAAAACATTGGTAAATATCTATTCTTCTTTTTTAATATTTGAAATTCTTTTCGAATCTTATCAGCATTGAAAGAATTCCATTTGAAATTCTTCGGTGTTCTCTTGTAACTTAATAAATTTCTGAAATCATATTTCGTAGCAGAAAGAAGAAATATCTATCTATATATATACATATATCTACCATTGTGTCACTCTACAAATGTTGACTTTGAGTTTAACTTCCAATCTCGAAAGTGTCAAGCATTATATTAGACTTAACCTTTTCTGTAAACTCAATATGTATTCATTTATCTGCATAATATAAAATTGTGCCCCAAAACTATAGAATTTGAGACATTTTTTTAAAACGTACTTTTATAAAATTACCATCTAAAAATAAATAAAGTACGTATATTCTAATGCAAATTTATTATTTAGATAAGTAAATTCATTTTAGAGTTCGAGAAGATAAAATGAATTTTTAAGAAAATTATTCAAGAAAAAAAAAAATAAAAAGACAGATATATACATCCTAGATTTGTATTTAGTTCGTAGAATATGCTTTATAATTTAAATTTTTATGTACAGTAACGTATTGAAATGATATTTTTTAGAGGCGATGACATCAGAAACCGTGCAGCATCCAGGTAGTAAGGAAAAGAGTAGGTCAAAATGTCACAGGGGAGACATTGTCATGCACGATCATCCGAAAGAACATTTGTCATGGAGACAAGAGAAGGGTAGGATCGACTATGATCTTTTATCTTTACTTTCCTCGAGATCTACAAAGAATCCGAACGGTAATTTCCCTTTTTCTCGGATTTCAAATTCTCTTGCATGAAATATGTTTCTTTTAGTTTTTTTCTTCCAAACTTATTTTTACTTTGAATAGTTACTTTAATGTTAAATATATATATAATTTAGTGGTTTATATTACAAATTCTCTTTCATACAATTAGAAAAATTGCATGCTAAATTCTCATTTTAGTCTTCAAATTAAACGCTGAAATATACTTTTTAAATTATAATTTCTATAAATAAATATTGTAAAATTGAATAAATGACGTATCTTACAACTGTTTATACGATAAGATATTTATATTTTGTATAAATAATGCGAAGTTCCTGTTTAAATTCTGTGAAGTTATCAAACTTTGGCCATTAGACGTCACGACAGACTTCGACCAATTTTTAAACACAGCCGCGTTATTAATCAAAAATAAACTTTACAACAAGAACGAAAAAGAAAATTTACAACAAACTTAACTCGAAAACTAATTTTTTAAAAAATTATTATTTTCTCTTGAATTTTTTATAATGTTTATCGTGTTTTTAGAATTTCTTTTCAATAAAATAAAATTCTCGTATTTTATGTAAATAAGACACTTACTGTTTTAGCTTTTAAAACAAATGAAATACATACATATATATATATCGAGAATGGAAATTATTATTATTATGGAAGTAAGTTAGTAAAATTATTGTATTTTTTTCTTTGAAATAAAAAGAAAGATAAAAAATAAAAACTTGCCTTTTATAATTGCTTAATAATTTTATATGAGTCGAACGAATGATTTCATAAAAGAAATAAAGAGAATAAGAAAGAAAGAGAAAGAGAGAAAGAATACAAAACCTCCATTTCATTTTTTTTTTCGTTTTTTCTTCTAAAAAACAACAAAAAAATAATAAAAAAGTTTCCATTTGACTTGGTGTACTTTAATAATCCTACCTGCAATCGATTTATGCCGTAGTTCAGCAAGTGCTCCTCGTTCCAGTTGTGTGAAAAGGAAGCAAACCAAAGCTTTCCTTTTCTAATCTGAATTTCCTTAGTTTTCATTAATTTCTTCGATCCCCCGGAGTAAAGAAATTTTGCAATTATATGGGAATCCGGTGACTTACAACTATTTTTAGCATTATTTTTATGGGTGAATGCATTTCATGTAATTCTGATGAGCTGAGAAATTCCTGACACCAACGATTGAAATATGACATTGCTTAATAAACAAATATCGAGGAATATTTTTCCATGGTTGACGAGAAGAATAGTGAAAAGAAGAACTTCAAATAAAAAAAATAATGCAAGAAAAATTGAGAAATTTCAAGAAAATAAATTGCTTCCATTAAATATATTGCATTAACGATCTATACACTACTTGTTTTAATTGATTAATAAATAATTTCTGAAGATAAATAGTTGTTAGAAACAAATCACGTGATTTATTCATACCTCTAATAAAGTAAATAATAAAAAAAAATTCCAAAAATACGCTAATTAATTTATTAATTATTAATAAAATAATGAGTAATTGTAAAGTTTTTCTTCTTCCTTCTCCATGATGTGTATGTAGATTCTTAAATTATTTGAAGGAAGAACATAATTTATGATGGTTTTTTTTTTATATTAATTTTTTCTAGAAACTATAGAAATAATTGCGCTTCGACGAGCAAATGGTTTTTTAATTTAAAGAAATGAAAGGAATTATATTCTATATTAATCTAAAGTTTGAAAGTTGATACTTTAATAGCAGGATATTATGATGGAGGAGTCGTTTTTTAGATATTATCGTTATTTTTAGATTTAAAAAAAATGTAAAATTACGAAATAATGATTTTTAAATCTTAGATTATTTTAAATTTCGAATATAAAGTAATACGTTTTCATTGGTTTTCATATTTTTAATTTAAAAAATGAGAAGATAGAATATANATAATGAGATGGAGAATATATTACTAATGAAAGATATATATATATATATATATTTCATTACACTAAAGAAAAGTATTGAAAGAGAATGTTTTGTCTAGCTAGCTCTTAAATTAAGTCCAAAACTTTTCAAAAATAGCACAAATATAGGCCTACGTAAATAACATGAAAGTCTTCCATATGATCCTTTTTTTTTTTTTTTTTTTTTTTTGCATACGCTTTGGATTTCTAGAACATATTCTTGCTCACAAAATAAAAATTCCTTTTAAAAATTTAATAAATAGCAATTTATTCATTTTGTAAAAGAAAGGCATAAGACAGACTTTTTAAAACAACTCAAAGAAACTGTAATTCCTATCTAAAAACATAATATTTATACACCTTCTTTAAAATTTAAACATTATATTTTCTTTCTAAAAATACAATAAAGAAAAATATATTCTCTTTGTGGTAAACATTTAAAAAAAAAAAAAAAAAAACAATTTTACATTCTATCCTAAAAATTCCACAAGCATATTCCCTTTTTAAATATTCAAAAATTATATTCTTCTTCTAAAACATTCAACTATTGGGAATATGTGCACAAAACAAAAATTCGTTTTATAAAAATAGAATAAGAGCATATTTCTTTTTTAAAAAACGTATTCGTGTGGTAAAACTCAAGTATACTTATTATCTAAAAAGTGCAATACAGTAAAACCTGTCCAAAACGAAATCTAAAACCTGTCTAAATGGAAGAAAATCTTCGGAACGGAGCGATTCCGGTTTATACGGGTTTTACTGTATTTAAATTCTGTCTCTAAAAATTCCGAAATAATGTAATTTCTTTCTAAAAACCCGATTAACGAAAAAAAATATATATATTTTTTAAATATGCTGTAACAGGCAATTGCCGTATTACAAATAAAGCGTAATTTGGATTGGAAATAAATATGCTAAATTTCTGCTTCTAAAAATCAACAAATAAATACCCTTTTTAAACAAAAAAAATCTAAAAATTATACTGTAAAACCTGTCCAAAACAAAATCTGCCTAAATAGAAAAACATTATTTAAAACGGAGAGATTTTTCTACGTTAAAAAAACCTGTTCAAAACGGAAACATACCAAACCGAAAAAATATTCGGTATCGTGCATTCCGGTTTACACAGGTTTTTACTGTATTTAAATTCGGTATCTAAAAAAAATCCAAAAAAATATAATTATACAGTAAAACCTGTTAAAAACGGAAGCCTGCCATACCAAAAACAAGAAGGAAAAAATTCGGTACCATGCAATTCCTTTTTACG